CTATGTTTGAAACGACACAATAACCATAGTTTGTCCAACAAAAATAAAAGCTGAAGGCCGCTTTATACAACCGTCTATTAATTTTAAAAATATTATTTGAAAGAGATTTCTTTGACTTATAAAAGATAACGTTCAGATACTCTATAATAAACAAAATCGTCTTTGGCGTTTATTGTCGATGAAACCAACTGGGGGAAATAAGGTTTATTATTTTTCTTTCTCTTTGAATTATATATTCAACAGAATATAAAGTTTTATGTCTAGACACATGTGGAAATTACACCAAAGTCTGTTCTCTTGTTATGTTTTAAACCATTTATGCATAGGAACTTTATTTTCCACTTGGTTGTTTTTTACATAAGATTTTAAAAAAACTACTTGTTCGAAGCTTCCAATGCGTTGAACGTACAGCTAATAGTTTACATTATTCTTAATTTAAAAATAAGTATTTTTCAAAACAAACAAGAGCCAAATGTGAAAAGAAATGCTTTCAAAAGAAATGTAATGAAAACTTGAATGCCTGAATAAACGGGGAAAATCTCCGTGCATTAACTAGATGTTCTGGCGATTTGCGTAGAAATTGCCATAGATATTAATACATAATCTTAACATTAAGACAGTTTTTGCATTTAAAAAATCTCTATTATAAACCCATATTTAAAATCAAATATCAAAACTTGTTTGCAAAAACTACCCTAAACGACATCGTGAACGACATTGTTATACATCTGTGCCAATGGATATCATGTGTATATTTCGTTGGACTATGTTGGTTTATTATTAATTACTTATTATGTAATTGCTACTAAATGCTTATATCCTTGTATTAAAACTTAGTAATTATTACAATTATGTTTTTATTCACTTGATTCTGATTCTGTCATGAGGTTTAATTGGACTTTGAATTGCTTTATTTTGAATTTCACCATTAGACTTCATTATTCTTATATATAGTGTTCATGGTTGTAAAACAATCCTATCTAGTTCATGTTAGAAGTTATATATTTTCTGGATATCGCGGTATCATTGATTGCAGCACGTAATAAGATATTTTATACTCTTTAAAGCACTTATTAGGGCATAGGATACGTAGCATTCTTCATTCTCTCTCATGAACAGATTCATCAAATCAAATTTGACCAACACATAGTTTAGCTTTTCTTCCGCCGGAAATTCCAAATTTAAGAAATATTCATTTATTAAATATGTTTTGTCAAGGTATACAGAAGTTTATATCTGTTTTTTCTTGAAGCCTAATCTATCAGGCATATCCGAAATGTTACTCCTTGTATATTTTTTGAAAATTGCACGTGTTTGTCGTTTAATCTTTTGAAGAAAATAGATAGTATAAGAAAATATAAAATCATTTATACACGAGACGGTTAAATAAACTTAAAGTCTTTTAAAGGTTTCCGTTTTGTTTATCAATGTGTAACATGTATTAACATATCTTTCTTATTTGTGAATTATAGAAAAAGAAATTTCATTTGAAAGATCTCTTCAAAAATAAGGAGGCTGTATTTTCTGATAATGACTGGCAGCTAAAGGAGGAATTGTCAAGTTGACACAAGAACTAAAAAACTTAAAGAAGTTACGTTCAGAGGACATGGATAAACTGAAGAAGGACCAAATGATAAAAGAGTAAAGGACGAACTGTTTCTTTTGTATCAAAATAATCCTAAATTATTACTTATGATGTGATGTAGGAAAAATAACAAAGTTTGTCACGATACCGTTATTTCACGTTTCAGATACGAGTTCACATTGTAGATAAATAATCGCAGCTGATGTGAATCAACTAAGATTTCTACACAAGATATGCTATAAATAAATATGTGTCAAATTAATAAATAATTAGATTTTTTATTTGTTGCAAGACTTAGTAAGGAAGCAGCTGGCGATAAATTGACAAAAGACAAGCTGGCAATTACGGATTCCGATCAACTAAACTCGGTTTAGTCTACAATGGACCTTACGAGAACGAATGCACAGACGCACTTGATGGGCTAACCGGAGCAGGACATGACGAACAGGAAGCAATTTATGATAATTATATTATAAGACAAATTTCACAAAATAGAAATGTATCTTTTGGATACTTAGGCAATAATTGATTTATTTACTCAGTTTTGTGAACAGCTTGATACGATATTTTAAAAACAAACCTCATTAGTTCAACATTATTACGACAGTATTTTTTTTAAAATCATACTAACGTCTTGTTTTAGAAAATATATCTATATTCTCGCCGATGTTTCTACTTATGTATCTTTAAACCCCGTAACACAGCTGGAAAAAGCGTAATTGAATATTCCTGCACAATTAAGTGGATACGAAAACACTCCGTATTTTACTAGATCGGACAAAAAATGTTGGGGATTTTCTCAATTTCCCTAGGGCGATAAACGGGGAAACCTTTTTGATCGCTCATAAATTTCTACATACACGTGAAACTAAAAGCGAACCCACATATCAAAATTTGAAAAAACGGGAAACCCCAAAAGAACTTTTTAAAGGGCGAAAAAATTGAAAAATTTGCAGATTCGGTTTCCTAAACCCCTAAAGTCTGTTCTTTGAAATGAATTTAAATGGGGCCAATTAACTGCCCAAAAGTTCCCTGAAGGGCTTAACCCAAAATTAAAATTTTGTCAATAAAAAATTTTTAAAATTTTTGGGAACAGATGTTTTAATACGGCGGAAATATAAATCTTCTATAAGAAACATAAATTTGCCATTCTTTTTTAAAAGGGGTTTTTTTGATGGGAATGTGGGGCCCAAATACGAAAAAACCCAATGTCGGATCTTAACAAACAAAAACAAACAAAAAATATAAGAAAGTAAAAACAAAGTCAAATGATATGATGCGCGAGTAACTGTTTTTTCTTGAATTTCTAGATGAATCTACAAGCCGATATTGTTGTGGGTGTTTAGCTTCATAATAGAAATGCTGTCAGCATCGTCCCATAAATAATTACAACAAATTGTGTGTGGGGGATTTATAAGAACAACAATATTAAAGCCTTCTCAACGCTAGCTCTTGAATAAATCAAATTACCAAGCCCTTATTCTATGGTTTTGTCCTTGGTATGATTTGACGCTATTTAGGTACATGTATAAAGAATACACACAAAAATTAAACAAGACGGGGCATGTACTTAAACATGTCTGCAGTCATAAATAACGGAAGTTCAAAGGGGAAAATGGCAGTGAAATTTCGTTATGATTTTATAAAACTGCTCGATTACCTTTATATGAACGATGTGTTTGGAATGTTAATTTAAACTGATATATTTAAGTGAAAAAAGTATTTACTTAACGGTTGTTACTAATTCTAAGCTTTAAATGCCCATTATGTCTCAGAAATGATATAATTTTCTTTTCTGAAAATTATTTATTTTTGAGATATTGTTACAGTATCAAAGGAAAAACGTCCTCCACTGTTGATTTTGAAAAAGTATTTCGGTATCTTTTGAAAACAGTTTCAAACCTTGTAAATCGTTACACCATCAAGACTAATGACCTGTTTTACATAAAATTAGTTTTTCAATTATTATAACATTTTATCTAGATTTTCTCTTAAGCTTTGATACAATATGATTATCAATCAATAACGTCTGGCACAGTAATAAGAATTGTGTTAAAACATATCTTTGTGATATTTTTATTTCAGGCCAACACGTAAGAAACAATTATCAGAATGGGAGCAAACGTATAAAATGTAGACAACTATTGTTTGACAAATGTGATGATCTCAGGGCTTTTATATAATATTATTATATTAGACAAGAAAGCAATAAATCGCCTTGTTGCTCGTAACCCGTGAATAGGATTTTGGTCAATAAATTTTTTATGTTGCACATTTTATCATTTTAATATTTTTTGTGCTGACTTTTTTCTTGTTTCTGTAACATCCTTTTGAATAATTTACTAGACATAAGTGATTAATGCGTATACCATTTTAAGGTCGGGATATCTATGATAAGATGCACATAAAATACCTTTCACACATGGGACGGAATCGTCCATGTAAAGTATAAAGCATAGAAATATCCGCTAGCAAGAGTTATCTTCATAGTTTCCTTCATAACAATACAAGTACAAAAGATGAAATTCGACGTGTAATGAAGCATGCCAAACACAGACACTTACCAAAAGACAAATTTACAAGATTTCAAGTTATAATATCAAAACAAAAACAAACGAAACGCGTTACAAAATAATTGATAGAAGAGTATTGCTACGCCAACTGATTTTTAAAGGATTATTACGTTAACAGTTCTAATAACAATATCTACTGGAATAAAGAATACGACCACTGCACAGCACCTGTTGTAACTAATAACGTTTAATAAAATGTTTTTAATAATTTGTGTACCAATCAACTTTTCATCTAGAGTAATTAAGTGTGGTTAATTCTTAAGATGTAAATTTTTTCTGACTTGTCAATTCAATGGCCTAGAACTAGTGACTTTTGTAGAGGACGTGTAAGTTCGCTTGGGATTTTAACAACAAATCTTGACAAATAATTATGTCTCTTTTCTTGACATTTAGATAGCACAGAACAGATCGAGTGTTTAATTTTACATGAATGACACATCTTATCAATGACTTTTGCTGTTAATTAGGACTTACCTGTCGAAAAGTGAGCATAACATCTAACTTTGCGTATCACCATATTATTTGAACAATTTAACTACAGAAACAATTTTGCTAAATTTCTCTAAAGCTTCTGCAGTAATTGAATGTAAAGTTAAACGAAAAACAAAAAGCGATAAAATGTCATAAAATAGGACAAAATGAGCCGCTTCTATCGTTTTTTTAAAAAGCAATTTTGAAGTTACCTTTCTTGAAAAAGGAAAAAAATCACTTAATACATTTACCAAACAAATCAAAACAGAAATCCAAAAGGTCCCCTCCCTGCCAAATACGTTATTAATTATAAAGATAAAAAGCAATTTTAAACTGGATATATAAATTAGAAAAAAACAGCAATTGACTTTAAAATTATTTAATTAAACCTGGATTCATTTACAATGCAAGGACGTTCATGCATAAATGAGTGTAATTGTGTAATTTAACAATTATTATTTAACATACGGTGATAGAAATACAATGTACAGATCTTCTTGGATACTTTTGACAACTTTTTTCTGGTGGTAATTGTAGTTTAAATGCTAGCTATAAAAACGTTGTAGTATCCAGACTGGTATGTACTGCAAGACTTCATAAAATAAAATGTCATTTGTACCTAGTTTTTACCAAGTAAATCCAACACTTAACATTTCTAAAACGTTATTGTTATGATATATCGTTTTTACAAGAGGGACAAAGCATAGCCCAAAACTGATTTACACGCATCGGGTCGTGGAAATCATTATCAATATGAAAACATGTACTATTGTTTCTCGTGACAATTAATTTATGAACACAATTGAGCATTGAGATGTAGGGAATTGAACCATGATTCGTTGTATTGGTAAACTTAAAAAACCGTGTATCAACAGACTGAAATCCTTCATTCATCTTAATATTCAACATAACGCTTCATAAACATTTATAATTTGTGATATAAATCATCAACAAATTAAAAGCACGAATCAATTGTCATTTTAGAGTTTGTTATAGACATTATATAAATTGTAGACAATTATGAAGTCCACAACTTCTTAGTTTTCGATTATTCAACTTCAAATGCAGAATTTTAGAGAAACTTTAATAAGTTACGTAGACATCGTTATGTTATTCCTAAGTTATATGAAGTCCAAAAAGTTCTTTGGAGATTCCGTTGACAAAAAGCTGAAAGTTTCATTTCTTTTCAATGTGTTGTCAGATAGCAACTCCAATAAACAATGCAAAATACCAAAAAGCTGACTGGAAAAGCAATTCTGCATACGTCATCTATGTTTTGTGCGTTGTCACGTGACCGTTTAATCATCAGTCCACTGATCTGAAATTGAGTTAATCTGACATTGAGTTATATATGACATTGAGTAAATATGACATTGGGTGAATCTGATATTTTATAAATCTGAAATTAATGAAGACGAAATCGAGCTTATTTTGTCTTGCATAAAGCCAAATAATATTTAGTTTAAGGGACTCCACAGACGCATTTGATACGGCAGGACTTGAAATATTTTTGCGCAATTTGTGTACTATTTGATGTAGGTCTGGTCCATTAACTTGTGTGCAAATTTTCAGATCATTCCCTCACACATTTATTCCAGAATCATCCCAGAATCATCAGTTTTATTGTGCATGATGACCTAAAATGAACAGCGTTGGAACGCATGTGATTCACACCGGGCTAATAATCGGACAAAACAAATTGATTTTCAATTCAATATGGAACATATTTCTATATTTCAAATTAGTTTATCTTTTGTTGTTTTTACAATTTTAAGTGCTTCATTTGTTCAATGTAAGAATTTCAAATTGTATTCTTTAGGTTGTTTGACCTCCGTGGAGCGCCTTAAATGAAATTATTAAAAGAACTAACATACTTGCAAGCATAGTAGCTAGTTGAAGTTTCTGGACGTTTAATAGCCATTGCTGTATAAGCGATACTAAACAACCCTTGAACTTTCATACCGTTGCTAATTGTATAATGTTAATTATAGATTATTTATTTTCTTGAACAAAGTTGTGAAAGTATGCTTATTGCAATCTTCAAAAGGCCAGTTTCCTATCTATATAAGTATGATATTGATCCTAGATTAGCAAGTATTGCATGTATATAAGCTGAGTGTTCTGGTAACAATAAATGGTTAATTCCAACAATAAAAAAATAACAGTTCATAATATGAGTACATTTTAAATTAAATAAAAAAAATCAATACATTAAGTCACATACGAGACCATTTTTTGGTTCTTGAATGCCATTTTGTCTGTCTAACATATCTTTTCGAAGTCTTCGTCGAAGCTGGTTTCGTGATAAAACGTTGACACATGCGTACTCGAGCAATGCAGAAAATACAAAACAAAGGCAAACGGCCATCCAAACATCAATAGCCTACAATATATACAATTTCACAACGTATTTATCCTTTATCAATCATATTTAAAATTTTAAAAAAGACGAGCCATCTGTAAAAAAGGAGCTTATAATTCCTTGTTGTAATGTTTACTGTTGAAGATGAAAGTTTTTTTTCAAACTTTAAAGTTATACTATGCTCATATTCAGGTAAAATTCCATTATTGCAAACATTTATAAAATTCCTGAAAAGTCTTACTAAATATTTCTAATGTTTATAAGAGAATGCATCTATATTTGGACGCATAATACCCTTAAATTTGTTAAGTCAATTTAATCTTTTCTAACACATTTAGCCTGCCAGATGTTTTATGACATAATCTATCTATGATGTGTTTACCTCAAGTGTGTAGACTTTAATCTGAACATATTTTCTATGAAACTATCATAATGCAACTACAAAGAAATAATGTACAATCCGAGCATTATATATCTTTAATTAACTTCATTACCTTTACATAAGACACTCGTGGCAATGAAACATTGGACATACTTCTTTGGGTTGTCATTGTCAGAACAGTAAGAATACCTAGAGATATTCGAGCAGGAACGGCATCAACATTAAGCCAAAACGACAGCCATGACAACATGACAATGAGAACACTGGGTATATATGTCTGTATCATATAAAATCCAATGTTCCGTTCAAGATATATATTGAATTGTAAACAGGTGTTGCCTGAAAATATATCAAAAATAAGTAATAAAAACACTTTACGAGATGAGATGTTAGGAAGTGTTAATGTATAACAACAAAGCTGAGTAGAATGAACTGAATGTGTCAATGAAACTTTTACAATGAAAGTTTATGTTTCAATATTTATCAGACTAACCCTTTTTTAAGCACAATCAGGCAAGAATGAACTGTATAACGTTCAAAATAATTGAGAGTACGGGGTTCTGTTATGACCAGCGCGTGTTCTCTGAAAACGAAATCGCAAAGCACGAAATTACGATGATGACAGTACAAAAGTACGATGGCGAAGTGCAACTGTCGAACTGTCACTATCGTACGTTTTTGCTGTCACTATCATAATGTTTTATTGTCACTACCCAACTGTTACCATCATACTGGCACCTTCCGGTTAAGCATGCGCATTAAATAAAATATTAACATGGAGGGAAGTACGATGGTGACAATACGACAGTGCGATGGACACGATCGTACCGTCGCGCTTTCCCATCGACGATTAAAGAAACTACAATGCCTTATCTCGTGGGTATTTTGCTTGGGTCAAGGCTTTTGGCCTTATATTGCTGTTACACAGTAAAGAAGACCCTCCAAGCTAATGATACAAACGAACATGCAGCGGAATTAGACAAGTGGTGTTTTAAAGGTTGGCTCGAGAATATGGTGAATCTATGAACATTTATACACTTTATATACATTAAGAACAAACAGCCGGTAAAAAAACGACCATGCAACGCGGAAATCTGACATTTTGCTTGGTTAAGGGCTTTGAGTCTTATATCGATGTAGGGAAGTCCCTTCAAACTAATTGAAAAATGAATCCACAACGGAATCAGGCAAATGGTGTTTGAACGGCTAGCTTGAGAATATGGTGTTTTTACGAAAATATATACACTTAATATACTGTCAGAGAAAACGCGGTGGTCATATTGGAACACTGTAAGAAAGAGTTGTATTGAACTATTTTGAAAGTTCGTTATTCAACTTCATTTTTTAAATTAAAGAACATGAACATTATTTTTGTTGACAATATTTGAAAATATTGCTTAGTAAAAATATATTGACCTTCTCCGATATCTGTACAGTTTTCTGTCTCATGTCTGTACGGTGTGAACTGGGGCAATTCAAGATTTGGATTCAATCTGATAGGCTCGTTCTTCCGCCATCTGAATACTAATCGATTTGTCGTAAATGCAACTAAAAAAAGAGATATTGCTCAAAATATACATTATTGTAAATGAAAGGCGATATAAAACTAAAAAAGTTTACTTTCAATGTTATGTGCACATTTCAAATATTGTCAAAGGAAGTTATTTTGTAAAAAAATTCTCCAAATAAGAGTGTAGTACAATACAAGAAAAAAGCTTATCAATCATGTCAATGGCTTTTGCCATCATACAATTATTCGTATTTTTGTTAATACCTTTCAGTTAATACAAATATGTTCAACATTTCTTTTCAAAATTCAATTTCATTAAACCCTTTATTATAAGAACAAATTTAACACTTACAACTTTGTATAAATAATGAACACATCTGTCTGTCCATTGGATACTTGTGAAGTTTCATAGGACATGATGCAGTTAACGTGATCCTGTAAGAAAAAATGAATTTCGGATTTCATAATCAAAACGACATGACTGAATGTATTGTAGAAAACTGTCAGCTTCTGGACTAAGAAATCGCTGCCTGTGTACATTAACTCCCTATTAAGTTTTATGATAAATACGTAATCATTAGCTATAATAGTCGTTGGTCTTACATGAAAATAAGGTGATGGAATGGTAACATAGTTTTTACATAAGAATGCATAATTTTCTTTTTAATATTATTTTACATTTCTTGCAACCAGAAATTTTAAGCTTTTCGTAATGTTAATAAACTAGAGACTTTTCTTCTAGTCGGGATATATACCATTGTGCTTATTCAAAGATATGCATGTAAATATGGTCCGATTGAAAATATTTACAATTTCAAACTGTTATTATGCAAATGAATATTTTTATTTTATTTTATTTTATTTGCTCCTTGTTTGTATACTGATGGACCCTTCGTCGATAGCAGCAACATAGCAAGACATCTGATAAATAGATGAAAAACTGAATTCAAGGACAGTTGAAATAATGGTAAATGTAATTTTGAATTTATTTTTATCTTTTTCTCCACATGTATTTTTTCTAATGAAATGTCAGCCAAAATGCAATGGTTAAGTAGGATTGTATGGCATATTTATATGTTATAATATAAAACATTGCACATGTAAACTATACAATTGTTTTTTAGGTTCAAAATGTGTTACCTAGATCTATATTTTACCACTCCGTTCTTGTAAATATGTAACATCTTATTTGGAATAGTAACTGTATGGAAATACGCTTGCTTTTCGTTCCGAACATATAGGTCTGGAACCCAGACATTTTCCATTAATCTGGAATCTAATTCGAGGTAATCCGCAGGTATGAGATTTCTGAAACTCAATCTTGTGTCTATCCATCCTTCTTGACTGACAAATGTGCTTAAAGTGAAGTCCTGAAATAGAAATTTCAATTCCCTGACATATTTACCGTCATAAACATATTTCGTTCCATATTTTAAATTTCACATTTTATATCATTTTAGCTCATTACTCAACTCTTTGAGAGAAAAAACAGCAGTAGAAATGAGCACGGAAACGTTATCCTTATCTAGCAATGTTAACCAATTACATGTGATGTTTTGTTTTAAACTATAAGTCAATTCCAGCCTGACTGCTGTGCATATATATTGCAAATAATGATACCAAACAAATTACAATGTAGCTGTAAATGACATCATAAACATGACATCAAGCTTAAAAACAAATTGTGTTTTAAATTGATAATTTTCTTGTTTAAAAATATGTCTAGCTTTACGTAACAATGACATGACAATGTAATTTAAGGTATAGTTACACACCAATGATTTGACTGGCTTTTGACAGTCAGGATTGTAGGTAGCAATTTTTTTTAATATTAATACATGAATATTGACATTCAGGATACAATTAATGGGTTTTTTTCTCTGTAACTGTATTCTAACCTATTACACAAATGTGGAAGAAGCTATAACACATATTTATTATTAAACGCCATCCTAGAATTGCTCTTTTGTCATGAATGATAATATCTAGCTAAGTAGATTGATCGGGAAGTTCGTGTAGTAATTATCATTTGTCACTTTACTATGGAATTTTAATTTCGGCAACACTGGTGCACGTAAAATTAGCTATGTTTTCTACTTTTTTTAAATAGATAAGCATCCTGTTTAATTTTAGACAGTTGTGACAGTTAGTGGAAATTAAATGATATAATATCGCCAAAGACATGGGTGTGTATATATATTTTCGAATTTCGAAGTATATTACTGTGGTTTTCAGTAAAAAATAGTACGCGGGAAAATATGCAGGGCAAATGTGGTCAAAAATTATTCTAATCAAGAATAATATATATTGAATATCTTGGTTCACTAAGTCTTAAATCAATCAATATCCGCCTTTGTTAAAAATAGATATTAAGATGAAATGATTTAATTAAGTCTTTTTGTATGACATGAAAAGAAGTATTTACGATAAAAGACGGAAACCAATTTCTATTAACATGTCAAAAACACCAAGCAACTGTCTTTAAATATTATTTATTGTTGGGCAAAATACGAAAAGGTCATGACTTTACCATTTTCTGTTCGTCTATAGAATCAATGCTGTTAATATAGAGGCTTACGTTGACTTCGCATGGGTAATCTGGAAAAATGAAAAAAAAAGGAAAAGTGAAAAATAAAAACTTGATATTGTTTTCTTACCACATTTTGAAAAAGAAATTAGTATATTATAATTAACACTACGCGTCAACACAATATGAGAACATATATGTCGTTGTTCTTCTATAATACCAACGTTAAACAGAACGGGTTAAGTTAAGGAAGATAGTAAACGTTATACGAAGTATGTATGATAAAATGTTATCTATCTATATACTTCTAGCCACTACACATTTACACACAATTTGTCGATACTGATATCTTATTGAAGATTACTGACCGAGTTACACGCAGTTTTACACAGTTTTAGTAACATAAAACACACTTTGAGCTGGAAAGGGGTTTGTCATTTAGACCAAATAAGACATCCATGAAGGCTTTATGGATACACTTTGGAAAGGAGTCCCCTTCCTGTAGTACTGTGACAAATTGGACTCCTGAATTAAAGAGTGGCAAGGAGAGCATTGGAATTGTTGAGCGGCCTAGGCAGCCAGAAGAGTCCACCAACGATAAAACTGCCGAAACTGTGTCATATGCGACAGAAGGCGAGACCTGAAAAGCTTTGCTAGTGAAGTGGGTATAAGCCTTGGTTCAGTTCAGGCCATACTGACTGATGTTTATGGCATGACAAAGGTTTCAGGATGAAACATAGGTCCATAACTTCGATCCAGAATCAAAAAATAGAGCATGCAGTAGAAGCACCCTGGCTCACCCCATCGGAAGAAATTCAAGAGGTAGCCATCAGCAGTGAAGATGATGGCTTCAATTTTTTGGGATAGTAAGGGGATAATCATGATTGAGTATCTTGAGCAAGGTCGTACCATTAAGCCCTTTATGAAGACCTGGCCCCTTCTTACTTCTGTGTGTTTCCGAAACTGAAAACCAAGTTTCGTGGTAGACGTTTTGGAAGCATTTAAGGTGCCATGGAGGCGGTTTTTTGAGTTCTTTGGGGACCAAACTGGAAAGTTCCATTTTGAAGAGTTAAACAAGTTGGAGAACGGGTGGGTGCAAGTGCATTGATGTAGAGAGCAATTATATTGAAAAGTAAGACCATTTGTTGGGTTCTCTGACTAACTGAAGTACATTAGGCCAAGTACATTTTGATTAATCCTCGTACATGTTTTTTTGTATTAGTACAAAAACTATATGACATCTACACGTCTAATATCTTAACTCACCTTTCTCAAAATTTGGTGGAATCCTACTGTCGTAGTCCTCGAGGAGGGCTTGGATGAAATCCTGTCTAAAAAAATACCAACATGCAAATTATATAAGATACAAATGTACATTTATGTATTAAATTACTTGACTTGTCTGCACGAGATTAAAAGGTATGGGATATTTCAGAAATAATCACATCTTTAATCGGTTAAAGTCACATAACTTTTTTAAAGCACGACAACATTTTTTGTATTGGTAATATGATAAATTCAAAACTCGTTTCAGACGGATTCATGACGACAATTAAAGTAATATTTGCCGAATACAAATGTAAATATTACTTGATTTCAATTACTGTGACTTTTGTAAATTCCATTTAATAACATTTTAATATTAAGATAAATAAATAAATAAATAAATAAATAAATAATTAAAATGAATCAGATAAATGAAATAAATAAATATGAATACAAGACACGTTAAATACTTGAATAACATTAAACTGAATGAAAAATTATTAATTTTTATTCTTCTTCTTACACTCAATTTTTCTTTAATTAGGTTTGTTCCTTTTCACTTACATTGTTCACTTTGAACTGATTGCCTAATATAAGCCTTATCTAATCATTTTGCACCAAACTTAAACAATGTAATGTTGATTAAACAATGCAAATACTTATAACTCAGTTTGTTGTATTTGTCTTTTGCAGCTTTTTGATGTTTAATGTATTTTTCAATATGATATCTGCTTTTTTATATAACCTATATGAACTCTTCCTCTATGTTGTAATGTTAAAAATAATGTTAGTGTATAACGATGCTTTTCCTCCTTTTTTAACTTGATAATGAGTTGAACTTCCTGATCAAGTAACATTAATAACTTTTTTCTGTGAACTAGTATCAGTAAGTTGTATATCGTTTTACCATTTTAAAGAGGTAAATATGATTTGATTTAAATGGTGAGACTGGCTGGCATATAAAAACATTAAAATTGTATACATTTATGCTTATGACATTGTCGTCATATCACACAAAGGTTTATTCAAATATCATGTTTCTGTAATTATGAGTAAACAGAATAAAGTATGTCTAAAACAAAATCCCTGTGTTTAGTTTAAACATATTTTATTTCTCAGAATATATATACATGTTACAATTTACAATATAAAAAAATTTTGTCCAGTATGTCCGACTGTAATGTGGTAGTAGCTGTTGGAGGATTTTCGAAAGAATAGTGTCATTAGCGAATAACTTCATACAAAATTGTATATCTTTTGCAGTATCGTTTATGAATACGAGAAAGAGGACCAAGAATTGAACGTTGGGGAACACCAGCTGAAAGATAACCAAAAGACGATTTAGAGTAAGAAAGGACAACACGTTGCTGTCTATCAATTAAATTTTCGAGAAACCAAGTATAGACCTTTCCAGAAATTCCAGCATGCTTCAGTTAAGTGAGTATGCAAAACCTTGTCGAAAGCTTAGCTAATGACAAAGACAATTAGTCGTACTGCTAGCACGTTATCAAGCAGGCTAAACAATAATTTCACGCATGCATCTTACAAACATTAACAAGTAATTGCTATTAAGTTATATACTGTGGCAGGAATCTTGGCACGCTACATATAGTTATTGTCGTGCAGACATTCTAACATTAGTTATATACACTTTAATATTTACGCTACTTTATCGTTTAATTGTTTTCTCTCAAATTGAGTAAAGTAATTTAAGAGGAAATCGCATGCAGATATTGTCTTTTCATGTATCTTTGCATTATTTGAAAAATGTTCGTTTACATGATATTATAATATTGAGTTTTATAAGTTAAATAAATACAAACATAAAATACTGAAGCATTGTATGATTTTTAGAAAGGTAGCACAAACTTTATTCAAAATTAAATCTTCTTGCCCTGACGGGTATTAATTTCTTAACAATCTATCCATTCCGACTCTTTAAACAGCCATAGTGCAAGAAAACAGACGCTTATTATTCAGTCGTGTAAAGCAGATGTAAATCTGCAAAGTGTAATGGAAATGTTGGATAAAATGACATTTTTCTTCACAGAGACAAAGCCATGCCAAATAAATAAATTAAACCTCTAGAAATTACAGTCAACTCACGCATTCCATGCTGTCACTAATTTCTTTGTTTCCACAATGCTCTCTTTCTGACAAAAGCATTACGCAAATTTAGAAAACAGAACAAAAAGATTATGATCTTTAATTACATAGGTTGCGGTAAACACGTTTGATAAAGGTTTTATTTGAAAATAAATATTTCGACAACTAGAGAACAACAAAATAAAGCATTTTAACATCCTGAAACAAGCACTAAATTTCCTATTTTTTCTATATGTTAAATACTGTATTCAAATTCAAATTCGGTATATATCTGATTTCGACGTATATATGTGATTTTATAATAATTTGATTCCGTGTTAATTAAGATTTTAGGATCAAGTTGATCATCGAGACTAAGGCCAAAAGATATAAATTTCAAAATTCTATATAATTATTTTTATCATTCAAAATGGATTTGAACTGGCATGAGATTGATACACTATTTATGCTTCTATTTGGTTTATTTACCTGTTATTCCAAAACCTGTGTATGTTTAATTGCAAATCAGCAACTCTGTACATTTTGTAATTTTAGCCCTATTTTATTACTATTTGCCAAAAGCAAAGACAGTATATTGAGTATCATTACAAAATTTATCCAGATGCTTAGTTTATGAACACTGGAGCTAATGCTCAGTTCTCTACTGTAATATTATATTGTTTGGCGACTTTCTTTCACTCAATTTCGCCTTTCAAACTGCATAGTATAAGAACCACACATTTGCATTGTACATTTTCACACATATTCAATTTTTGTCAAAAGCGTTTCTGTTCATGCAACCTGATCAATCTCATTTACGCATTAGACCTAACAAGTCCGTTTTTAATATATTTTTGTCCTAAGTTTTATATGAAACTTATTTAGCGCATCAATATAATTAACAGAAAAAACACAAATGGATCAACAACAAATCGTGCAAATTGACAAAGGATTGCAACAATTTTCTCCAAAGGAAATACAAGACTGAGATCGACTGATCAATTGAGAATCGGGTTATTCTTACACAATAAGTCATATTCAGCCATTCAGTAATAAGCACAATTGAAACAATGTAAGAGCTGGTACCGTTGATAATATACTCTATAAATGTTATCGTATTATTTTGTTGCACTCGTATTTCTAATTCATATAAATAGTCTTAAATATAATTTTACATTCCGATTAGCAAATATAATGAAGTAGAACGGATATTTTGTAAAAGCTATTTCATTCATAGTATTTATGTAAGCATAGAACTTTTAAGTAGGAATCCTGTTCCTCTGAATGTCTGATGGCGCATAAATAAGAAGGCATACATTTGATATTCATGATTTTTATTTCTGAAATTTCCGTCTGCATATAGACTTTACCATTCATCAAAATACTTCAGTCTACGAATTTCTATCTTTGACTTAAAGCAAGCCATTGATAGGCTAAGTAAAACTAAACCATACAAATGTTAAATTGTCTGCGATTTAATGAAAATGATTTCAATGTGCTATTTTTCACTCAAAGTATCGTGCCTTTTGATGCTTTTATCGTATAAAGCATATATCACAATGCATCTTAAATTACGTTTAGTTGAAAACGTTATTATATTATTACAAAACAACATGTTGGGAAACCTCGTTTTTGAAAACAATCTGCGCATATCAAAGCTTATATTTCCTGGTAAATAGTGATAGATATTCGTAAAAAGTCCTGCCTCGGCGTGACAAAATCTCGTTTGTTTACCTTCCTCTGACATACATGTCATATTTCATAAAGTGTATAATGTCTTACATAGCACCTACTGCATTATTACTCTGCTCATTTGATGTTATGTTCTATTACAGGCGTCCTAAAGAATAACACTCAATTTTATGTTATTCTTCTTCCCTGAGAACATAATTGATATTATTTAATTTAGTGTCCATTGATTTATATCATTCCTTTATCTCATTTCTCTCTCGATCTCTTTTTTTTTTGCTGTTATTTCTTGTTGTTTTCATTTCTTATTAACATGAATAATCTATTCAGGATCCAGTTATGTTTCTTAATTATTATAATTTGTTAACAAACAGACTGATTGTAAACAAATTATATTTAAAACCTAAAATATTTCAATATTGACTATTATGCTTTATGGTTTTGGTTTATTTGGAGAAAACACAAAAACACGGGAAGATCGCAGACGTGTGTTGAATGATAAATTGCGGAAAAACGTGCTTTGATAAAGCCAGTCTTGACGAACAGAAAAACAAATAAGATTATTTCGTAAGTTTCTGAAATCTCTTATGGCCGAAAGTTATCAATGTCCTATTTTTCTTATTTCTTTATAATATTGCATTTCTTATCTACATTCAGCACCTTTTTCTAAGATTCAACATTCAACGAGCGCTCGGTTTTTCTTACTATAGCTTTTTTTATGAATTATACTTGAAACACAATCTTTTATCATCGTGCCTAATAGTGAAAGACACAGACATTCAATACATCTTTGAAGTTACATTGTTCCACAGATATCTATTTTACACTTTCTGGTGAACTAAAACCTGTCATTTTTTTTTGAAGATAAATATATTCATGCTGAACTAATTAGGAGAAAAAATTGTGCATTTTTATGAGCGCGACATTAATACCCGATTTTGATATTTTTGCACTGTCTTATACTTTACCATTCGTCAAAATTCTTAGTATTTATATATTTGACTTAAAGCAAGCCATTTGTAAGCTTAACTGAAATAAACATATATTGCAAATCAATTTTATAATGTTATTTTATGTTATGTAATGAAGCTTATTTCAGTTTCCTATTTTCGACAGAAAGTTAGATAAAATGAAGCCGAATTCTCAATGCATTATTCATGTGCTTACTTGAGCAATATTGTTATTAATATGTTTAATAAAAACAGTCCATCAGAATATTAATCAAAAGTGCATCCTTAGCCAGATGAAAAATAAAGTTCTTCAAACTTGTTCCGTAATTAAATTGTTGTCG